GCGGCTGAAAAACGGCTCATTCACCGTACATAAAGTGGAAGTGCCAAGTTTTAAATTGACTGTATTTGGGTTTATTGTTTGGTTGTAATTCCAGAGCAGAAGTGTTTGCTCACAGTAACATCCCATGCGTCCTGGTGTGGGACGTGGGACTGACCCTCTCACAGCATCTGCTGTGCCCTGTGGTGTCACTGCCCCCGCGTTCCTCTAGACTTTAAGAGAGCTTCATAGAGTCTGCAATCACATCCCAAGGAGTTAATTGCTACTGAACTCTGGTAACGGGTTGTGAATGATCTGGTAGATCCCCAATCTTTGATCAGTTCCAGGGAATATTTGACTTCTCTGGGTGTATGTTCTTCTTTAAGTATTGAGCATTGAGTTTTCCATCTGAAGCTTGGAGCAGTGGCAGGTGTTTCTCTTTCTCATCCATGTTTCCTTATAGAAAGGGAGGGGAAGCGTGAGGCAGAGAGCCTGGGAGATGAAGGTTTTAAACATAAAGGGATTGTTTTGGGACGGAGCTTTCCCTTGTGTGTGCTCACCATTAAAGCCGACATTTTTGTCCGGTAAATTGGACCCACGCCTGCCTGCCTTCAAAAAAAACTACCAGGCTCTTCTGCTTCATGGTTCTGAGTCTCTGATACTTTTGAAATGAAGCCTAAAGATCCTCCAAAGAGGATAACACTGCCTAATGGAAAGAATAATGCGAGCGAGAACCCATCTGAAATGACAGCTGTGAGCCTTGCGCAGCTTTTCGGGCTGATCAAAGCTGCTGGGAACGCTGCTGGAAAAGGGGGATCAGCTCCCCCACTCCTTCCTGCTCAACCTGCACAGGATCTCCTGTTCCAGCCTTTGCATGTTTTTCCTGGGAGATGAAATGCCCCTCCTGGATGGGGATTTGGGTTAACTCACTGGGGGTTGATAGGTGAAGTGTTGGGGGTGGCAGAGCCTCAGGGCTCAGTGTGCACAGTGACCCCAAACCCACACACAGCAGTGTGCAGCTCCTCTGCCTGTGTGTACTGCAAACACAGAGGGAGGAATTTACTTCCTAGTCACAGTTTTATGGTGGCTTTTACTTTATTCTTCATGTGTGTGTTCCCATGATTTTGCTTCTTTTGCGAGGTCGGGTGATGATTTGAGCATCTCAGCTCATGTTTTTATCCTTATTTCAAGTCCCTTCACTCATTGCTCTGGTCTGAATACGCAACCTCAGTTGTGCCCAAGTGCTTTAGCCACTGGAAGCAGAGGAAATTCTTTGTGTGATGTTTTTTGATGCAAGAACTAATTCTGTGATCCTCGTGGCTTCTTTTTTGGATGATTCCTGTTGTCTGGCTGGTTGCAGAGAACAAGGTCTTGTGTGCTTTGGGGGCCCAAGATATTTGGGGTCCGCAGGGGCTGAGCATAGCCAGGCTGAAGGAGTCAGTGATTTAAAGCGAGGGCTGCAGGGAAGAGGGTCTTGGCAGTGTGGAGAAAGGGGTGCAATGTGGTTCTTGGGTGAGTCCCTCACCGGGATGCCTCATAGCCAGATCCAGGCTGGAGGGAGGGAGAACTCGGTGGTCTGGGAAGGGACAATCCCACTGGAGCAGGAGATGGAGCTGAGCAGAGACCTGTTGAGCCCTCTGAGCCCCCGTGAGGACTGGCCCTGCTCAGGCAGCGTGGCTCTCACCAGATTTGTTCACAAAGCCCCTGGAAAATCCGCTAAATCCTGGGCTCTCAGTGAGTGTGAGACAGCAGAGCTGTGTGCTGCCACTCAGACCTGCTGCTTCAGGCTCAGCCGCCCCGTGATCCCCAAACTCCTTCTGCCCTGGGGGATGCAGGTGCCTGATCCAGCATGGGCTGAGTCTGGGACCTCTGGGCAAAGCACTTGACCCAGTCGTGTCCATCTTCCCTCTCTGCTGCGCTGTTTAGAGGGAAACTATCGATGCGGGAAGCAGGAAAATTTATCTGTGACAAATTGCACTGAGAACGCTGGTTTGGGCTCGTTCCGAGCAATGAGGGAGCATGAAATCGCTGTGACTCCTCAGGGCTTTCCTGGACAGTGTTGGGAGCTCATTGCAAAACATTTATTGTAAAATACCTTCTAATTGCAGTGCCTAATGTGGGCACTTCTGGCCTTTGGGAAGCTCCGGGAGCTTGTTTTCTCCAGGCAGTTGGGAGCAGCAGGTACTCAGAGCACAGGAGGAATCAGAGCCTTAAACAAACCCCAGGAATTAATTGAGCTCTTCCTCCACCTCTCTTGATTTTCCAGCTGACTTCAGGGGGTGCAGAGGGAGAGGGGCTGGCGCTGGCTGCGCTCCCTGCCTGGCCAGGGTGGGATCCAGAGCACACTGCCGGCAGTGCTCCCGTTGGCAGCCTCGTCCTCACACCCATCCCTGGCACAC